TGCCCTTCAGGCTGGAAGGGACCACAGATCTCCAGGCAGATGGAGGAACAAGATCACATTAGTATCAACAGCAAAGCCAACCAGCAATTCCTTTTTCATTATGGAGAGAAGAAAAACTTCGGTAGCTCTGGGTCTGGTAGCATTTCTGTGCCAATTCCTCCTGCATTTTGTGAGCTGTTCAGCACTCCCCACGATGCAAAGTGCGGGTCAGGGCAGTGGGAGGACCAGCCAGAGCCCAGCTGTGAACTGGCACCCTCATCACCAACTGCTACTAGTTAGATAAAGAAACATTTCCCCAGTGAATCACTGCAGGGCGTTGCTCTGGGCTGTGTCTTTGCAAGCCAGAGGTGCCAAAACCTGCCGGGGCCCCAGCCCTGCCCCAGCACCCCCAGCCCTGCCCCAGCACCCCCAGCCCTGCCGCCCTCACGGGGGGAAAGGGCATCAAAAACTACGGGAAAAGGAGAAATGCAACCTTGACTGAAGCCAAGGCTAAAACTGTACGTGAATTAGATTAATTTGACCTTCATCAGACTCCTTGCCAACCAGATGAGTGAGCAGGCAGCAAACAGACTGACCCGGGAAGGGCTGGGAAGCCAAGTGGGAAAGGGGATGTTTGTTTGGCTCAGAGCTCCTGAGCTACCCAGGCATAATAAAAATGTTTGTTGTCTTGGGATACTTCTGAGCTTCTCACTGCTAAAGTTAAATCCTACGGATCAGAGCAGTGAAAAAGCCCCTTTCTGTCCTGGTGATGCCCAGTGAACCCACAATCCTGCCTTCTGACATCCTGCTGCAAAGAAAAAGAAAAGAAAAGAAAAGAAAAGAAAAGAAAAGAAAAGAAAAGAAAAGAAAAGAAAAGAAAAGAAAAGAAAAGAAAAGAAAAGAAAAGAAAAGAAAAGAAAAGAAAAGAAAAGAAAAGAAAAGAAAAGAAAAGAAAAGAAAAGAAAAGAAAAGAAAAGAAAAGAAAAGAAAAGAAAAGAAAAGAAAAGAAAAGAAAAGAAAAGAAAAGAAAAGAAAAGAAAAGAAAAGAAAAGAAAAGAAAAGAAAAGAAAAGAAAAGAAAAGAAAAGAAAAGAAAAGAAAAGAAAAGAAAAGAAAAGAAAAGAAAAGAAAAGAAAAGAAAAGAAAAGAAAAGAAAAGAAAAGAAAAGAAAAGAAAAGAAAAGAAAAGAAAAGAAAAGAAAAGAAAAGAAAAGAAAAGAAAAGAAAAGAAAAGAAAAGAAAAGAAAAGAAAAGAAAAGAAAAGAAAAGAAAAGAAAAGAAAAGAAAAGAAAAGAAAAGAAAAGAAAAGAAAAGAAAAGAAAAGAAAAGAAAAGAAAAGAAAAGAAAAGAAAAGAAAAGAAAAGAAAAGAAAAGAAAAGAAAAGAAAAGAAAAGAAAAGAAAAGAAAAGAAAAGAAAAGAAAAGAAAAGAAAAGAAAAGAAAAGAAAAGAAAAGAAAAGAAAAGAAAAGAAAAGAAAAGAAAAGAAAAGAAAAGAAAAGAAAAGAAAAGAAAAGAAAAGAAAAGAAAAGAAAAGAAAAGAAAAGAAAAGAAAAGAAAAGAAAAGAAAAGAAAAGAAAAGAAAAGAAAAGAAAAGAAAAGAAAAGAAAAGAAAAGAAAAGAAAAGAAAAGAAAAGAAAAGAAAAGAAAAGAAAAGAAAAGAAAAGAAAAGAAAAGAAAAGAAAAGAAAAGAAAAGAAAAGAAAAGAAAAGAAAAGAAAAGAAAAGAAAAGAAAAGAAAAGAAAAGAAAAGAAAAGAAAAGAAAAGAAAAGAAAAGAAAAGAAAAGAAAAGAAAAGAAAAGAAAAGAAAAGAAAAGAAAAGAAAAGAAAAGAAAAGAAAAGAAAAGAAAAGAAAAGAAAAGAAAAGAAAAGAAAAGAAAGGAAGGAAGGAAGAGGTATGAATCTGAGATGCCAAACAACCCAGCTCAAATAAAATCATTTTCCTCTGTGAAGGCTTTACATGATCTGAATGCTCTGGAGCCCCAGATGATGCACTCACAGCTCCACAGAAGGGCAGGGAGGCAGGGAGAGCAACACTGGGACTCAGGTCCCCTGAGCCCTTCCAACCCTACAGCTCCCCAGTGTCCCCACAAACCTTCAACTGGGTGTTCTGCTCTGGCAATTCAAAGAGGACATTGCCCATGGCCAGGGCAGTGACCTGACACTGTATCACCCAAAGGGTTTGGACCAGGTTTCATACTTTGCATTTCTGCTATTTTTTTCCTTTTTAAAACATCTCTCTGGGCAGAATTAGCTATTAATACACAGAATTGGCTCTGTTCAGCTCAAGAACAGGAAAACTGGGATTTGGGAAGATTTCTATATAGAGTAATAAAGTTTTTTTGGTCTGCATTTAAATGACTATTCCACTGCTTCCCTTCAACCTTAATCTGAAACCACAGAGAATTTACTGTCCAGAAAAGTTAGTGATGTGTTGAATAAACTTCTTACTTTCACCCCATTACTCATACCCAGTAATGACACATCTCCTCTCTTAGTATCTCTTCTTCTCTCTTTGTATTTTCCACCCTGTAAATCTCTGTGGAGGCAGGGGGGTCCCACCTTGGCCATGGGAAGCAGCCAGTCCTGTCCCACGCTCCAGCTGTAAGAGCACCCAGCACCTTCCCAGTGCCCCCATCACTCCCCTTTTCCCTTCTGGAGCCTTGCTTATCTCCTGCCCTAGCAGAGAGATTTTTGCACAGATGCTGCATGATGCTGTGCCCAAAATAAAACCTCCCATCCCTCCCCCCTGCCGGGAGGGCAGCAAAGTCATGCCCAAGAAATCTTAAATTTGAGTCTTGGGAAATAACTCTGCAAATTGCCCAAACAAATTCAGACTCTGGGGTGAGCACACAAGGAAAAGAGGCACCTCCTGGGCAGATGCTCTGCAGAGTTTGCATTTCCTGCATTTTTCCAGCTCTGGGCTGCCCTTGCCCTGCCTTGCCCAGGCCCCGGGATCTGTCCTGCAGCCCAGGACTGCTCTCCCACACCCTGGGACAGATTCTGGAGAGGGAGGAAGGTGGGAAGTGCTGCATTTCCCAGTAGGATCTGTGTTGGAGGGACCTCAGTGGGATCGCTTGCATTGTCCCCAGGGAAAGGGGCAGATCCACCCTCAGCTGCTGCAGCTCTGACCTGCCCAGGGCTCCCCTGCAAGGGATTTGCCCAGGATTGTAAACCAGGAGGCAGCAGGAGCTGCTTGCCAGGGCCAGGACAGAGCATGACTGGGGAGGGTCACGTTGTCCTTGGTGCACATCTTGGCAGTACAAAGCCCTGGAAAGCTCCACGATGTGGTTTGTGGCACAGGGAGCTTATTTTCCTATTGGAGAGCTGACAAAATCTGGTTGAAATTAATATGCCAAAGAAATAAAATGAGAAGCACACAGGCATCTCCTCCTGACTCTGAGCAACCCAGAGCCACGTCAGGACAGAGCACTGAGCCCACGTGCCTGCACACTCTGCTGGGCTGCTGTGGATGGGCAGGGGGCACCAGCTGGTCCCACCAGGGCTGACAGGAAAACTGAATGGAGGCAGAGCCTGGGAGTGGGACCTGGGCAGAGAAACTTCCCTGTGGATGAAGGAAACCAGAGCTCACGTCCTCATCCAGAAGGACACAGGGCTCACCCCAGAATCAGCTGATGCTCTCATCAGCCTCTTCCCAAACAGGAACAACCCATCAAACCTCAGACACTGGCTCCATGCACCAAGGAATGATGTAGTTGGATGTAGGGAAGATGAACACGGGACCCAAAAAGAGAGGAGGGTGCAAGGAGACAGCTGTGGCTGAGTGCACCCAACCTGACCTGGTCCTTTGAGAAGAAATGCTATGAGCTCTGTGTCAGAGGAAAGAAAGTGGCAACAGCAGCTCTGCAAATTACTAAATATTCGGTACAGAGGCAGTTTATCTCCTCTGAAAGGCTGAGGAGAAGGAAATGGATCCCAGCTGGAAGCACAAGCAGGAGATTCACTGCTGAGCTTCACTCTGGCCAGACAGCAGTGCCAGGCTTTAATCCCTGCTGCAATTAGTCTGGATTACAGAGCTGCAGGGAAAAGGTTAATTAAAATCCATCCGATGAGCATGTGTGGGATTTAGCAACATTATCTTTCCAGTACCAGTTTGTTAAAGCTAATTCAGCAA